TACTTCCTACAAACACATTTAGATATTTTATCTTCTGTTTGAGTGTTACAGTCTGCAATAAGAGAGACAGTTATGTATTGCTCTGTAATGTGTAAAATATATTTTTTTTAATTGTAGCAATTCAAGTGTGCCCAGTACTCTGTGTGTTATTACATAGTGTAAGTATAACAAATCAGTTAGTGTGTGTCAATGAGATCTTATTTGTCAACAGTGAGGTGTTTTCTTGAGCCACTGGCTGATCCCTTCAGGGCTTATCCCAGTTTTTAAGTCATTCGTGAGTTGGAGTACTGCAACCACATTCCCATTGAATGGGATGCCAAGATATGACAGCTCATCACCAGACATTTTATCAGAGGTTGCTGGTGAATCAACACTTTTTGATCAAAAGGCCAGTGCACTAATCATAATTCTGAGCACTTTGCCTTCCAATCACAGTTGTAATAATCAACCCTTATTGTCTGGTTGTCAGGGAAACACTTTTGGTAAGCTTAAGTCTCTGGACATCCAAAACAAATTGGAGAGAGACTCTGCTCAGGGGATAAAAAAAAAAGGACTTTTCTTAGACATTGAGATGGTGTTGGAGAGATTAACTTGTGAATAAACGTATAATAGTAAACAAAATGTACTGCTTAATGATATTTATGGTTCCATTGCAGGGAGGGTGTTGCTGAACTGTTGCTCATGACTCTTCTAATTGGGTTTTTCCTCATTATTAACCTCACTCTGGTGCTGCCCATATTACTTAGGTAACTACTGCATCTTCACATGAGAATACACCACATTGTATATGTGTGGTCGTAGGTAGAGGTGGAAGGCTGGGTCTAGAACACAAGATCGAGGCTCTCTCTAGGCAGAGTCATGTAGAGAAGTGATTTGTGAAACAAAGAACTTAAAAACTGTTTTTGCTCTGTGTTCTAAATTTTACCCAAAATGCTTACCTGAGTAAGCTTCTACTCAATGTAATTGACTAAGGATTTTTCTTTTTTTATGACCCATGTTCAAACGTCAAACATGGGCCATTAATTCTTGGGCTTTTACGCAAGATATTCCCTCTCTCTGGAAATGAGACTTAACAGCTTTCAAGTTTTCCTCTTTGCACAAGAACGAAGAAAATGAAGTGTGAAAACTGTTTTTTTTCCTGAATTTTTCTTCGTGTTTAAGTTTGCGACCGAAAGAATCTGCTAAAGATGTGGGAAGTTACCATCCAAGTCTTAGGTTGATATAGATTTGGCTTTCCTTCCAGTGATACTTTTTGCTGGCCAATGCGTACATGTATATGTATTTGTCCTTATTTGTATTAATTGCTATGACAACCCTATACTCATTACTTCTTTCACCAGAACTCCGTCATCCAAGGGTCGAAAGCACCGTAGCATTTTACACGTGTGTGGGTGAGTGGCTTGAACATTCATTTAAATCAACTGTTTTGCTATACTTTCACTATGACTAAGGGTCAACGCTCGGAACGTCAGATTAAAAACTCTTCTCGGTGGACAATTTACATTATCGACTCAGTTAATGAAACAAAGCCATCTTGTTATACTCCCCCACCGACGCAGCACCAGAGGTTTTTTAGAAACTTGCCCCTTTTTATTTTCCACAGCCATCCGATAACAACATGTCTCCAGTCTTATCTCCCATGCCCAAATACGTTTTAAACATTCCTCTGTCCTTTGCGAATGAAACTGGTGTATTTAAGGTGGTTGAGTGAATACTCACTTGTGTCGTTTTTCTCCTTTTATCTAATCTTGCTCAGCTCTGACTCCCCCATTGGAACTCCTTACCAGTCTATTTCGGAAGAAGATCCCAGAACGGAGTCTGTACCCCTCATTCCCAACGATCTGCAGACACCAACGGTAATGAATATGTAGACTGACTGATATTGTTTTATTGAGAAATTGACCGACGGAGTTGGGAAATGGTGGACTGGTTGGTTGTCTGACTGACTAACCGTCCAAGTGACGGACCACTGACTGACTCTCTCTGACAGAGTGACTGACTGACTGTCTGACAGAACGACTGACTGACTGATAGAGCCACTGACTGACTTACCAACCAACTGGCTGACAGAGCCACTGACTGACTTACCATTAAGTGACTGACAGATCCACCGACTGACTTACCAACTGACTGACTGACAAAGCCACTGACTGACTTACCAAATGACTGACTGACAGAACCACTGAGTGACTTACCAACTGATTGACGGAGCAACTTAGCATCTTACTGAGTGACTAACTACTGATGATTGACCTCTGACTGGCTGACAACTAAGCGGTACAAAGTCTGGTATAATGGTAGTCATTTTAGTTTGTGGCTGCATGGGCTCTCCGTTTTATCCTCTGCTTAATCTAAATTTTATGATGAACTGCAAACTCTAATCTGACGATCAATGTTTCATAACTTACATTAAGTGATTTATAAAATTATATTTTCCTTGTACACAAGTTAAATGTCATAACAGAGAGAAATATCGATGAATTATCCTTGATTCAGAGAGGTACCAACTTAAAATTTAGCTCAACGAATGTCTGCCTATGTGATAGTGAATTCTGTTTTTTTTTCCTCTCATTCAGTACAACGCCATGCACCGGTCCTCAATGGAGTTTCATTCCTTCGAGGATTCGTGGAAACCCGGGCGTTTCAGTTCAGTAGGAGCTAATCCGTTGTTAACTGCTGCTTCTCCGCTATCATCATCAGATGTATCCTCCAACACTGACCTTCCAAACATAAGAGGACGAGGCGAGATCAACAGTATGGCGTTCTGAAATAAGACAGTGACGTCATCCTCTTCGCCTGACTTTTCTGAGAAGCTTTAAGATGTATCACTTTGCGGGAAAACTTTTGCAATACACGTTTGCAGCGAAAAATTTTAAAACTTGTTAATACGAAAGCCGAAAAGGGTTACTTAATCATTCATGCCTACTTTTTAAGGCTATTTAGAGTCTTTTGAACATGTAGATAGATAGATCTATCGGCTAACGCATAGAGCGTTTTTATCAAAAAGATCTTGATTGTTTTATATTGAAAGTTAGCGGAGGCATCTATATTTTTTAATCTAAATTATTTAATTATTTATGACAATCAGGTGTGAATACCTGTACTATAATTTTTATACGATTTAATGACAGATCGATTGCATGAAGTATTTAGAGATACATGTGACATTCTGTTTTTCTTGATCGTAGTAAAAACTTTTATTGAATGTTGAGAATATAACTTGATATGGAGTACCACTTTTTTGGAAGCAAATATTTTTATTTTATGGTAATGGAACGTCACCTGAGGTTGCGTGCAAACTGCAGTATGACATTTGTAATATTTGTGCAAAAGGTAGAAACTTTTTAGAATAGAGATGGCTGCCATAACGGACCACTTGGTATAGAAAAGTGTCGAGGATTTCTTCGGAAGAGATGACGAATGTATGCGGGTATGTTTCCGCTTCATTTGTCGTTGAAACCTAAATTTTACCTCTACAACTGATATTAGTCGCAGTATAATGTGATTAAACTATTCTTGAGAAAGGTATGGGAGTAATTGTATAACAGACTTGAACTTGTCCGTAAGACAAGTAAGTCATCTCCATTAAAATAAAGTTATGCGTTATCTTAATTGGGACGTTAGTGCTTTTCTTTAGCTCTGTGCACTCCTCAGTTTATATCAACACCGTAATATGTTTTAGGGCTGCCGGCTGAATGAAATACGCGGCTTTCCTATCCAGTTTTCATTATGCAGAGCAGAATTTTCGCCGACGTTCTCGAAAGCAGAATTTGCTTTTCCTATCTCGTGTTTTCTGGAGCCCCCGTGACGTTCCTGGGGAGAGGAGCCATTAACCAGCATTTTCTCGCCCTTAGGCTCTTGCTTTTGTGTCACCACTGGTGCTTGACGGACGGTAACCGCTGGTTCAATGTCATTGCAGTCACTGTCTTCTTGTGGCTTTTCCTCTTTGTCATAAGTAGTCTTAGGGATACGACAGTCACAGAGGCAGCAACAAAATATGACTAAAATCAAACGCATAAGCTTAGTTAAAAACCAGTGAGACGAGGACGAGCCCTATTCCCA